TTCTTTCTCCTGTTCTCATAATGGCTTTTCTCCAAAAGGCTTGTTTGCTGAATAGAGGTTTAATTCTGTCCACGTGATTTTCTCCAGCAGACACTGTCTTGGCTAGGGAACAACTAGGTCACGGAAACCGTTCCTGCTGTCTCTAGACGATGCAACTTTTTCCTAATTTTGTGGGTCTTTTCTCTTAGGGTCTCTCGCTCCCGGGGTGCTGCCCCTTAAACCGTGGAGTGCTCTTCCCTTGTTTCAAAGGCAGGCTGTTGAGGCAGGGGAGCATGTATGGAAGGAACTGTCGGAGAAACACAGACTTTAAAGCACAAGTATTTATAGCCCCTGTTGATGGTGGTAGGCGTCTGGAAGCATGGTGTGGCTTCTGCTCTTGCTTTTACTAAGCACAAATCACATATTTTTTATATACGAGATGGAAAGAACTCAGTGTTTCTAAATGTTGGGAGAATGTAAAAATGTCCCAATTCTGGATCGTTTAGCCATGTTGTTGTTGTTTAGTCATTAAGTTGTGTCCGACTCGTCGTGACCTCATGGACCAGAGCATGCCAGGCCCTCCTGTCTTCCACTGCCTCCCAGAGTTGGGTCAAATTCATGCTGGTCGCTTCTGGTGACACTGTTCAACCATCTCGTCCTCTGTCGTCCCCTTCTCCTCCTGCCTTCACACTTTCCCAACATCAGGGACTTTTCCAGGGAGTCTTCTCTTCTCATGAGATGGCCAAAGTATTGGAGCCTCAGCTTCAGGGTCTGTCTTCCAGTGAGCACTCAGGGTTGGTTTCCTTCAGAATAGATAGGTTTGTTCTCCTTGCAGTCCAGAGGACTCTCAAGAGTCTTCTCCCAAAGAGAAGAGGCATCAGCTCTAATGGCAGAGTGCATGGGAAATTACTCTCCTGCTGAAAAAGCGGCTTTACACCCAACAAACTTACTCTAAAAATATGTTTGTGGGTTTGTTTCTTTTTTTATCATGTGGCCCTGTTTCTGGATCCTATCCTGACGAAGGCAGACTTCCCAGTGAATGGAACAGATGAATTGAACTGCAACATCCCAGGGAAGTTCTCGGCTAAATTATCTCGTGGGAACACCCTCGCAGCGGGTGATCGATACCACCCTCCTCTGCTCAGACCAGGAACACCCATTGCATCCTTGCAGTGTGGGTTTCGTGGGGTGAAAGTTGGGTTCCTTCAGGAAAACAACTCATCTTAAACGGGATCCCTGCATGTAGGGCCCCTGAAAAGAGGGGGGGGTAGCAGATAGAAACCGGGTCAGAAGGAAACCACAGATGTAGGAAAGATGACTCTCCTGTGTTCAACTCAGAACTGAAAAAGTTCAGAGTCAAGAAACTGGTATATATGTCAGCAATTTTATCCTGGGGGTGGGTTGTCTAAGGGTGTGTATTTACACACCAGAAAGGCTCTGGCTTTCCCACAAAGAGGATTCAGAGCATTACCCCGATGTACACAAGAATTACATATGACGGAGCCTTAATCTCTTCTATCCTGACTTCGGCTGGACTATCTGTGAAGAGAAAAACCCTCCAAATCAGAGGACTTTTCTGCAACACAGGATCCGCCGTCATGTTGCTTGCCCCAGATTTGGTCAATTAATTTGTGAGGCTGATGTTGTTTTAAATCCAGACCCACCAGCGTGTGCCCCGGCGCACAAAGTAAAAATAATTGATTTTTTTCACGACATCAGGGGAAAAAGCAGATGTGTATTGGAAAAGCAAATCTGCAGATCTGCCTTCCCGTGTCTTTCTCCCTCCCCGTGAGAAGGAGCATGAATTAATGAGTGTTTTTTTTTTCTCCGTGCGTAAATGGTTGCCTCCTTGTCAGGATTTCTGGGCCCCTGGGCAAGCAACTCTCCAAGGAAATGGTCTTTGGGGAGCTCTTCTTGCAAACATTACTCTTCTTTCCCCGTTGTTCTGCTTCTAGAAGCACAAATCCAGTGGATCTAAGCATTTTTCTTGTACACGGTTGAGTGTCCTCACCCGTTGCGCTCTGGATCACCGTGGACGTGACCAGTGAAAGATCACACAGCTTATTAAGTAAACCTCCATCACTTTCAGATCACCAACTCTGAAATTTGCAAGAATGAACAAATTGCTTCTCTTTGGTTAGCAATTCACTTCCTTTTGTCTTGGTTCATTCGCTTAAATCTGTCCAGCTAATTATTTCACCCGCCAGAATGCTTCCCTGTTGTAGGAAATCATCTACATTCTTTACTATTAACAATTATTTCAAATCTACTCTAAAATCTTAGACATACCTAGTTGTAAATCCTACAGTGTTCAATGGAGCTTACTCCCAAGTACTGTAAATGTATATAGAGTTGTAGCTGTGGTCTTGAATCAACAGCCTTCATAGATTGAACAGATGGGCATAAATTCATACAGTATTGTATTTTGTATAAACTACAGTACAGCTAACTAGGAAGTCATATAACAGCATCCTCTTTCTGGCAGCCCTCCTGTCAAAAATGTATTTTTTGTCTGATAAAA